AAAAATTTTGGCGCTCTTGGCCAATGCTGAAGCGTCTAATGATGAGCCTCCTGGCGATCTTGACGTTCATTTTTTCCTCTGAAGAACTCATCGGCTCAGTGGTGCTTGCAATAAAAACACTTATTGAGTCTTTAGTCGTCACGTAGCCTTTGATGTATGCCGCCTCGCTCCACTAAATCATAATGAGACACTTTATCAATTGGAAGAACGGAGCATGACATATTAAAGGCACACTGGTCTGAAATGATGTCCTATCCGTTCATAGGCGGATCCAAGACGGTTTCTTGGGGAAGGGGGGAGGGGGAGATTTTTCATCCCTCTTTCTCCCCTCTTCACTACACTCCCTCCCGTCCTCCGTCCCTCCCCGCTTTCCTTCGGCCAACTCCCAACTCATCCCTTGACCGTCGCACCACCCCACCTCTTCCTGATGGACACTAAACTAAGAGTGGCAAGTTTCTTGGGATGAGGAGGGGAGGAGGGAGGCAGGGGATACCGAACAGACTTTTGTACAATAAAATAACTGCCATCTGAGCCTCCGGGGGCAGGGGGAGGCGAAAGACCTCCTTCTTCTGGATCCGTCAATGTATCCGTTAGTCGATACAGGCGATTTGTGACTAGAAACTTTTTTGCTTGTAGATGAAATCCACTGCCATTTTGTTCTCCCTTACTTGGTGAATCTGGCACTCGTGGTATTGAGAGGCATCTCAGGCAGTTTTTCGGAAATGGGTTTTATTTAGCAGAGGTGCGCTTTCATCATTTATGGACGCTAGACAGTTTTCAAAATGATTAAAATGAATCATTTGCTTCATTTCGAAGTGCCAATTATGAAAAGGCATGTTACTACAGTTTCGAGATGATTTTTTTATTGTTTTCCTGGGATAAATAAAAGACACTTGCATATTTTGTGGTATTTTCCAGGAAATGATAATGAAAAAGAGGAGGAAGAGGGAGAAGATCCGGAAGACAAAGGCAAACTCAATCCAAATGCCGGAAATGGTTGTGACTTGGAAAATTATCAATGGACTCAGACGCTCAGTGAAATCGAAGTATCCTTTTTAGTACTGTTGCAGAATAGTGTATCGGTTTATGGTTAAAATCAAACGCGAATCAATTTTGAGTCCTTTCGCATCCCTCTCTGTGCGAAATAATAGCGTAATGAGAAGAGGGGATGAAAAAATTTGGGTACGTCACTGAACCAAGCGAGGGACTGCCTGCGGTAAACTCAGAATCGCAGAAATATTGCAAAAGCAGGCATTTTGCTTGCCTGAGCCCTTCTAAAAAAAGTACGGGTATCGTGGGGATAAAGCGACTGTTGAATAATATACAAGCTGAGTGGGTACTGAGATGAAATAAAAATTCGCTCCCACGTCTCCCTAAGCTACGGCACGCATCCAGTGCAGCTAATACACGCCTGTTCACTGGAGTAACTCATAAAGTGCTGT